GATTGCAGGCGTGAGCCACTGTCCCTGGACAATTTTTTAATTTTTTTTTTTAGAGATGAGCCTTCATTATATTGCCCAGGCTGGTCTTGAACTCCTGGGCTCAAGAGATTCTCCTGCTTTAGTCTCCACCAAATTGCTGGGATTCCAGGTGTAAGCCACCATGCCTAACCAAGGAGGAGTTACATTTTATTAAAAATATATACTTATTTTTTAGAGACAGGGTCTCACTCTGTGACCCAGGCTGGAATGCAGTGGTGCAATCACAGCTCACTGAAGCATTGAACTCCTGGGCTCAAGCTATCTTACTACCCTAGACTCCTGAATAGCTGGTACTACAGGTCCATGCCACCATGCCTGGCTAATCAAAACAAAATGTTTTTAGAGACAAGGTGTTGCTATGTTGCCCAGTCTGGTCTCAAATTCTTGGCCTCAAGATCCTCTTGCCTTACTCTCTTGAGTTGCTGGAATTATAGGGGTGACCCACTGTACCCAGATACATTTTAAAGTAATATAGATAGGGAGCAAAACCTTATTAACAAAATAAATCAAGGTGACCATGTCTATATCCATACCAAATAATAATAGTGTTTCATTTCAAAGTGTTCAATCAAATAGCTTTTAGGGAAAGTTTTCACAAAATAGAGACAGCCTCGGTGGTAAGCTACTTGAAGGCAGGCAGGAACAATATCCCATGCATCTATGAATCCCTCAGAGTCTCTTGCTTCTAATAGGAATTCAGTAAACATTTGTTTGAACAACTAATTGGATTCAGTTGCCAATAAGAATGGGCACAGCCTAAGGAAGTCGCTCTCCATTCAGCAATCAGGTGCTTTCCTGCAAATTGCTTGCTACTCATTAGTGAAACTGAACATTGTCTCTATGAGAAGAGGAACACAGGAAACTACTAAGACAGGTATATTTTTGAGAATGATGGTAAAGGGAGATCTAAAGGCCCAGATTAGGAGATACTGGGAAATTCTTTTGACTCTACCATAGATTTATTCTATGTAGAAGTTGGGGAACCCACTGCTGCTTACAAGCTTACAATGCATCAACTTGTATTGTTAGAAAATGGAGATATGGTAGAAAAGAGAGAAGATGAAGAATTCTCATATTCCAGGAGGATAGAGAAGGAGAAGAGAAATAGACGAACCCATCTTTGAATTACCTATGTGTTCTCCCTGGCCTCGTTTCCTATTTTTGCTGTCCTTTCTTCATTTTAGTAATTGTTAACTCTTGCCTCTCTTCCTGAAACCCAAGACAGTGAGCTAGAAACATCAAGATGTTGAAATCCAGCGCTCTCTGTCTTACTTGAGTCAAAAGCTTGGTGGGAAATGGAAGTTGAAACTAATGGCTGAAGTGAGTGTTTTAAAGTAGCTGCAAATTGCAGTGACTTGTGCTTCTTGCTCCTTTTGTCCTCCATGGTCATGGATAATTGAGTGTTGGCTTGGTGTATCACCCAAGTGCTGTGGCATTTGAAATGAAGTACTCCATGAGATGCGAAAATTCAGAAGTGGCAGTTTTCTATGTAAGAGACCCTCTGTAATGGTTTAAAGACCTGCAAGACACATCTGGGCTATTGGCCAGCTCCTTCAGCCTCTGACCAGAACTGCTTTTATTGATATCCCCTTTCCTAAACATAGCCTTTCACTGTCAAGTAGGCCAGTATAATACAACGGAATGAGAATAAATTTTGGCTTCAGCCAGACATTGGTTTAAATCCTAACATTGGCTGGGCATGGTGGCTCACGCCTGTAATCCCAGCACTTTGAGAGGCCGAGGCGAGCGGATCACCTTAGGTCAGGAGTTCGAGACCAGCTTTACCAAATTGAGAAACCCCATCTCTACTAAAAATACAAAATTAGGACGGGCGCGGTGGCTCACGCCTGTAATCCCAGCACTTTGGGAGGCCGAGGCGGGTGGATCACGAGGTCGAGAGATTGAGACCATCCTGGTCAACATGGTGAAACCCCGTCTCTACTAAAAATACAAAAATTAGCTGGGCATGGTGGCGCATGCCTGTAATCCCAGCTACTCAGGAGGCTGAGGCAGGAGAATTGCCTGGACCCAGGGGGCGGAGGTTGCGGGGAGCCGAGATCGCGCCATTGCACTCCAGTCTGCGGAACAAAAGCGAAACTTTGTCTCAAAAAAAAAAAAAAAAAAAAAAAATCCTAGCATTACCTTTACTCGTTTGTTTGACTTTAGCTAAGTTATTTTATTTCTGAGCCTTGGTTTCCATGTCTGGCAAGTACACATAGTAATACATACACGGGCATGGTGGTTCATGCCTGTCATCCCAGCACTTTGGGAGGCTGAGGAGGGTGGATCATGAGGTCAAGAGATCGAGACCTTCCTGGCCAACATGGTGAAACCCCGTCTCTACTAAAAGTACAAAAATTAGCTGGGTGTGGTGGTGTGCGCCCGTAGTCCCAGCTACTCGGGAGGCTGAGGCGGGAAAATGTCTTGAACCGGGGAGGCGGAGTTTGCAGTAAGCAGAGATCGCGCCACTGCACTCCAGCCTGGAGACGCAGCGAGACTCCATCTCAAAAAAACAAAAAAGCACGGGGGAGTATTTGTTAGGATTAAATAAAATTTAGTATGTAAAAGATTGATATCATTTATTTTCCATTTTCCAATAATAGTCCCTCTAAGAGAAATCGCTATATTATGTTCCACACCATCTCCTTTTTCAAGGATTCTGGACCTGCAATTAGAGAAAGCAATCTGCTGGAAGGGCATAAGAAGAAGGAAGAAATCATGAATTGCTCATGTGATCACAAAAGGGACTTTTGTTTTAGAAACTTAGAACTCAAAGAATAAAATGCAGAAGGTGAAGTGGAAGAAAAAAACACAATCAAGATTTAGCCTTGGGGAATAAGTGAGAACAAGTAGTTAATGAGTGTGAAGATCTGTTATCTGAATACACCTGATTTGATTTCTTCTTCCTTATTTCTGAGAGGATAAAGCACACTGGATTCTGCTCATTTCACTGTGCCTCTTACTCAGGAATGAGAAAAGCCATTTCCTAGCGGGATTGTGTCTCCACCCTACGTACTGGAGTCCTGATGGTCACACCTTCTGGATTGTCTGAGGGATAGAATCCCTGAAGGAATAAGAAGGTTCTTTGGCAGCAACTCTCACTGGCTTCCCCCAGCTAAACTATAGTAGAATCAAGGAGAAGCAGGGCAATTATATTTTATTTATTTGACCAGGAAAGCATAACACAGGAAGTTTGCTCCTTTAGCATATACTGGAAGAGTCCCCAAAGAGGAAAAAACTTCCTCCTTAAGCTTGTCTTTGCCACCTTCTTTCCTATTTTCCACTCCACTTTCTGCCTCAGGTAGTGTAAAACTAATCGCAGAGCCCACAGGGCCGGGTCGGGGACCAGCCGCTCTGAGATGACGTAATGCTTTCTGCGGTACACAAAGCAGCCTCCCCCGGGCTGGGCCTCTTTCGCTCCTCCCCCTCCGGCCTGGATCGCGCCCCCGCCAGCACCAGCGCGGGTTAGTCCCCCTTTTAAAAAAGCCAGCCCAGGGAAACAGGGAACAAAGGCCCCGGAAGGAGAGCCTTGGCGCTGCCAGGAGACCCAGAAATAGACATCACGTCATCCCCCAGCCCAGCAGCGCCAAGCGCCATTTGGTAGCATCGGATGGACCCCACCATTACGATGCGGAATGGAGCTTGCAGGGCTCACGTTTCCTCCCAGCCCCGGCATCCAGTTGACCGGCTTAAGGAGTGGCTTCCTTTTTGCTCCCCACCCCCGCATCCCTCTTTCCCCAGAGGCCGCCGCCTCCCCTGGCTGCCAGCCACACGGCCCACAGTCTCCAAGCTGCCATCTTGATACCCCATCCCCCTCGTCACCTCCCTCCCCCGCAGCCCTTAGGAATGGGAGGGGGAGGAAGGGGCACCGCCCTGCGTGCCCCAAGGGGGAGGGCTCGGACTCCCCCACCTCTCCTCCCCCAGAAGGAGGGGTTCACGTCCTCCGCACGCTCGCTGTTTCTCACCTCCAGCAGTGCTGACAGTGCACCATACACGGCTTTAGCATCCTGGACTTCCCCACCCTCGGTGTGGCTCTGGCCCTGCCAGTCCCTGCAGCCCATAAGCTCAAGTTCGAGCACTGTCAACTGCCCACTACCCACCACCACAGGCCTGATTTTAGCGGGGCTGGCACTCTGAAGGCTCTGGTCCGGGCTGCATTCTCTGCCCTGCCGCTGGGCCCCCTTGGCCTTGCAACCATTCTGGCCACCTCGAGCTTAGTCTTCCCGAGTCTACTTACCAAAGCTAGGTCGGATATTGGTGATCTCAGCCATGTCGTAATCAGAAGCTGTTGCTATAACGTTTTTGCAGTGGTGAGACAACGCTGGGAACCCTCGATCAGTACTAAGGCCGCAGCTGTAGAACTCTAGGTCAGGGAAAGGGGAAGGTATCCAGCGGACGCCTCCTGCGACGGTCCGGCTCCTGGTTGTCAGCTGCGCTCTGCTCTTAAGATCCTCCCGGGATGCTCTGAGCTAAGGATGCAGGTGCAGTCAGACTGGTCCTGATGCGAGGTAGGCTCCGCCTTCTTCCGAATGGTCCTCGGAACAAGACTCCGCCTCTGTCCGAAAGATTCCGGAAGTTATGCCCCGCCCACTTCCGGAAGATATCTCGGAGGGACTCCTCCCACCGACGAGTTTTCCCGAGAATAAGGCCCCGCCCACTGACGGGCTGTGGTTCTAGAACAAGAAAGTGCCGAGGAGTAAGAAGTGTAGGCAGATGGGGAGAAATGCCAGATATAGGTGAAGGGGAGGAAGGCAACAAATCACACTGCCATGTGTGTACCTATGCAACAATCTTGCACGTTCTTCACATGTACCCCAAAACCTAAAATGCAATAAAAAAAAAAAGCGTAGGCAGATTATTATATGAAATCCTCTGATTTCGGTTTCTTGGGCTTTAATACAGCAGTAAAATGTTCTCGGTTCTGAGTTCCAGAATTTTGGGAAAATAAAATTATGTACTGCCGGGATTTCAGTATGGATTGCCATCATTATGCATTTCTGAGACTGCTAAAGGTAATTAGGGAACTTTTTTTTCTTTTTGAGACGGAGACTCGCTGTCTGTCTCCCAGGCTGGAGTGCAGTGGCACTACGTCGGCTCACTGCAACCTCCGCCTTCCGGGTTCAAGCAATTCTCCTGCCTCAGCCTCTTGAGTAGTTGGGATTACAGGCACGTGCCACCACGCCCGGCTAATTTTTGTATTCTCAGTAGAGATGGGGTTTCATCATGTTGGTCAGGCTGGTCTTGAACTCCTGACCTTGTGATCTGCCCGCCTTCGCCTCCCTAAGTGTTAGGATTACAGGCGTGAGCCACCGCGCCCGGCGAACTTTTTTTATTAGGCTATTTCACAGTGGATGAAAATTGTCCTAAACCTCAAAAACTCTGATGAAAGACCAAACCTGGGGATGGTTTCACAACTCTGAAAATCTGCTAATTTTAGAAAATCATTCAGGCGCGGTGGCTCACGTTTGTAATCCCAGCACTTTGGGAGGCCGAGATGGGCGGATCACGAGGTCAGGAGTTCGAAACCATCCTGCCCAGTGTGGTGAAACCCCGTTTCTACTAAAAAATACAAAAATTAGCCGGGCATGGTGGCGCACGCCTGTAGTCCCAGCTACTCGGGAGGCTGAGGCAGAAGAATGGCTTGAACCCAGGAGGCGGGGGTTGCAGTGAGCCGAGATCATCCTGCTCTGCTCCAGCCTAGACAACAGAGTGAGACAAAGCCAAAAAAAAAAAAAAAAAAAAAAAAAACATCAGCTGGGCATCGTGGCTCACGTCTGTAATCCCAACCCTTTGGGAGGACGCCGAGTTGGGCGGATCACTTAAGATAAAGAGTTCGAGCCGGGCGCGGTGGCTCACGCCTGTAATCCCAGCACTTTGGGAGGCCGAGGCGGGTGGATCACGAGGTCAAGAAATTGAGACCATCCTCGTCAACATGGTGAAACCCCGTCTCTACTAAAAATGCAAAAAATTAGCTGGGCATGGCGGCGCGTGCCTGTAGTTCCAGCTACTCGGGAAACTGAGGCAGGAGAATTGCCTGAACCCAGGAGGCGGAGGTTGCAGTGAGCCGAGATTGCCTGGGTAACAAGAGTGAAACTCCATCTCAAAAAAAAAAAAAAAAAAAAAAAAAAAAAAAAAAAAAGAGTTCGAGGCCAGCCTGGCCAACGTGGTGAAACCCCGACTCTACTAAAATTACAAAAATTAGCCAGGCGTGGTGGTGCATGTCTATAATCCCAGCTACCCGGGAGTCCGAGACACGGGATTGCTTGAGCCCAGTAGGTGGAGGTTGCAGTGAGCCCAGATCACACAACTGTACTCCAGCCTCGCAACAGAACAAGACTCTGTCTCAAAAAAAAAAAGTCATTTAATTGTACACGTAAAACAAATGGATTTTGTGCTTATCAGTAGTGATGCCTCGAGTAAAAAAAAAAAGTAAAAAAATAAAAACAGATGGATTTTGCGGTATGTAAAATAAGTTGTTTTTATTATATTATATTTTATTTTTTTGAGACAGAGTCTCGCTCTGTTGCCCAGGCTGTAGTGCAGTGGCTCTATCTGGGCTCACTGCAACTCTGTCTCCTGGGTTCAAGCATTTCTCTGCCTCAGTCTCCCGAGTAGCTGGAATTACAGGTGCCCACCACCACACCCGGTTAGTTTTTTTTGTATTTTTAGTAGAAACAGGTTTCACTATATTGGCCAGGCTGGTCTTGAGTTCCTGGCCTCATGATACGCCCGCATTGACCACCCAAAGTGCTGGGATTACAGGCGTGAGCCACCGCACCCGGCCAATAAGCTGTTTTTAAAAAAGACTGATGAAAAGTGCCAAAGTTAGTCAGTGTTGAATTTTTTTCCATGAACCTCAAGTGCTTAAAATTTCATATGAGAGAGAGAGAGACAGGCCAAACCAACCAAAAGATCTGTGCATTCTGTAGGTCAAAGGACAACACACATGAAACTCTGAGCTTCTGGAGTCTTCCTTGGTATTTGGGAGAGTTGGTGTGATTCAGGTTACAGTCAGACTACTGCCGATTATAGCCATGTTGGCATAAATTTCAACCTTCATGTTGGCTGGGGATAATTTCATCCTGTCGGATTCTGTTTACACATAGGATTAGTTCAAATGTATAAATTTTTGTTGGTGGTTTACCTGTAAAATGAGAGGGTTGAAAGCATTTTTCCAGCTTTTGACATTCTGTTTTTCTTTTTTCTTTTCTTTCTTTCTTTCTTTCTTTTTTTTTTTTACCAGGGAAGAGAGGGAATGCAGTCCCTCACTGCCACAAATTATGCAGTCGAATTTCCCACGTTTGAGGAAATCGCAGGGATCAGCACATCCGGAGTGCAATGGATAAGCCTCCCCCCGGGAAAACCACCTTCGTGATCATGGTATCTCCCTTGCCAGGTAAGTATGACATTCTTTTTTTTTTTTTTTTCTTTTTCTTTTTTTTAAATTTCTGTGGATTCCACAGACATTCTGATTTTCTAGAAAGTGGAAATGACATCATTTTAGGAGTCATTCATTCATTCATTCACTCATTCAAAAATCATGTATTGAATTATTGAACATCTGTTACACCCCAGATAGCCTCCTGGGCACTAGGTCAATGAATTATTAGCTAGTTAGGATACTTAATACCTGATTCTCCTTAATAGCTGTCTGTGTACTGCTGTGAAATCACCTACTCAGCTGAGCCAGAACTTTGTCCTGTGCAAACTGGAATATGATATAATAATCTCACAGTTGATTGTGGAGACCAAGTCACCTGAGAGAATGTGAGAGCATTTTGTAAAATGCAGAATATTGTGCATATTTGAATAATTACCATAATCTGAGTCCAAGACTGCCTTAGTTTTAATCAGGAGCCTGCACTATTTGTGACTTCTTTTTCTGACATTTTATGACCCTTGGTCCTGTGTCTCAGATGCCTTGTGGTGAGAAAAATTAGTTATGAATTTATTTTTATTTATTTTTTGGAGACGGGGTCTTACTCTGTCACCCAGGCTGGAGTGCAGTGGGCGATCCCCGCTTACTGCAACCTCCGCCTCCCGGGTTCAAGCGATTCTCCTGCCTCAGCCTCCCGAGTAGCTGGGATTACAGGCACCCACCACCACACAAGCTGATTTTGTGTGCTTAATAGAGAGACGGGATTTTACCATGTTAGTCAAGCTGATCTCGAACTCCCGACCTCAGCTGATCCGCCCGCCTCGGTCTCCCAATGTACTGGGATTACAGCCGTGAGTCACCGCGCCCGGCACCCGGATTAGTTGTTAATCTAAACCATTGAATCTCAGCCCAGTTTTGAGTAGCGTAACTAACTCCATGGGTGGAGAAAGCCAAGTAGTGCCTTTAAATTTTTATGCCAATAACTGACGCGCTAGCGCTTGGGCTTCACTGTGCCCTAAGATGGGATGGCGCCTAGTATTTGGCGCATGCTCCTTGATGCCCTGCGGCGCAGCGCTCCGAGGCTCGGGGACGCGCACGCAACTCGTCGTCGTTGGTTGACTTCCGGTGGTGCCAAAGCTGTTTCCGCGGAATCAGGCTGGCTGGTGAGGGTGCAGGTTTGTGTGCGTTGGGGCGGGAAGAGGCAGATGGGAGCTGGGACACCTGGGCGAACGATGTCCAGGATGAGAGGGTCGGGTCTGGGGGTGAGTGCTGGGTGCGTGGCGGAAATTAACGGCATGAAGGTGTCTAGTTGGCAATGGGGACTGGGGCCAGCCCTGGACGCCGAGGTGGAAGCGCGGTTAGGACCCTTTTGAAAATATTTTCCTGGGAGAGGGCCGTGCCGCGGCTGCCTCCCCATTGGCATTCATTCACCCTGTTGGTCCGACTTGGGCTCCCCAAAAAGTGGGCTATAGAGCTACAGCTGTGTTTGAGGTGCCTGGAGCTGAAGTAGCTTTTTTCCCTTCTTTTTCTTTTTTGTACCTCAGTAATTATTTGTGAAATAAAAGAGTTGCCTAGGCTACTCCCATTCTGTTTCTCATCCAGTCACCACCATCTCACAGGAATCAACAAAATCTTCACGTTTTATTGAGCTTTAATTACTAAGGACATCAGTTGGTTGAGGGGATGGGGAGTCTCCCCTAATGTCTTGAAAAAACTGAAGGGAGGTTTAAAAGTAACTTTATAGGTCCGTCGCGGTAACTCACACCTATAAGAATAGCACTTTGGGAGGCTGAGACAGAAGAATTACTTGAGTCCAGGAGTTTGAGAACAGCCTGGGTAACAAATTGAGACCCTCGTCTCTGCAAACAACAACAACAAAAATTGCCGAGGGTAGTGGCTAGCACCTGTAGTCCCAGCTACTTGGGAGGCCAAGGCTGGAGGGTCACTGGAGCCCAGGAGTCTGAGGCTGCAGTGAATGAACCAGGGTCTTGGCAGTGCACTCCAGTCTGGGCAACAGAGCGAGATGTTGTCTCTGAAAATAAAGAAAAAGAAAGAAAGAGAGAGAGAGACAGAGAGAGAGGAAAGAAAGAAAGAAGAAGGAAGAAGGAAGGAAGGAAGGAGGGAAGGAGTGAGGGAGGAAGGGAGGAAGGGAGGGAGGAAGGAAGGAAGGAAGGAAGAAATCTAACCTTAGAC